TGATGAATGACACCCTTCCCTGGACCTTAACCCTAATCTTAATAATTTATTGAGTCAGTTTGCCATAAAATAACACTCAAAAGATTCAAATGCATTAACGCAACACATGGAACATGCCTGAAGTGGCACGCTATTTACAGTACATGCAGTCCCATTATATCCGTTATTCTCGTACACATTATTACTTGATTTGTTGTTCAAATAAAACTTATTATTCACATATTTAATTTGGTAAATGTATGTTACCACCAACCACAGATAAATACTGTATGATGAATAAACAGTGAATGACAGCCAAGATGTCATCCTTGTATTTCTGAATCAACATATCAAAACATAAAATGCAGTAATGATATAAAATATAGCTGAAAACCAAAAATTTATGTAAAAGATCACATATATACAGTCAAGTAGAAAGAGTCATTTTTTATTTGGTTGACTGTTGAACAGGCTGTCTGTTCCCCAGTCTCTTTAAAAATGCTGCATTCATTTGATGTGAGATCATTGACCAGGCAATGATCCTGCTAATGAGGTATTTATTGGTATAGTTAATCAAATAACCCTGGATAAACATGTCCTGGTTACTGCATGGCTAAGACACATTTTGAGATGCGACATAGTCGGTAGAGCACTGACTTTGACACGAGAAGGTCAGAGATGAAGGAGGATATTTACAACACTATCAGGTTTTTGGAAATGTTTCTCACTGTTCCCTGAGTGGAGGGGAGTCAAACTAAGCAAACCTGAAGTGTATTAAAAACTAAAACCAATTTTGAGTCGGCAGTCCCAGACGGTGGCCAGCAATGATGCAACCCCATGTCAACAGAGAGACAGCTGCCTGTTTCAAAGGAAGATCTGAGTGGTCCTGTCTGCGTTTATGTGTCGGCATATGAGCATACTGGGGGCCAGATAGGAACTGTGTGTGTGTGCCTGCAGACACTTTGAACTACAGGAAGTTTCTGCTTTGCATATGGTTGGGGTCTGTTCAATGAAAATCTACATTCCAAATGCTGTTTTATATCCTTTCTAATAAAGTCATAGGAAGAAAAAAGGAATTATGAATATAACTAACAAATGACTAAATGTAATTGACAAAAAGTACATATAGTATTTGGACAAGAGCACATTTTTCCAGTCTCTGTCCTGCATGTGACATATGTTTAGGATTGTCCAATGACTTTGGATGCATTTGCCTGAGCACACAGAATGCACCTAAAGAGCAGTGTTCCAGTTCCACAGGTAACCTCCATGCTTGACAAATAAAGTAGAAGGCTTTGCATCAATATTAAGATTTAGCCAAATGCATCATGTTGGACAGACATTTCATCATTCAGCAGTCAAACGATCCTAAACATGTGGCCAAAGGAACCAAGACGGTGAACGGGTGCAGAGAGACCAGGCTAAAGTCAGAAAGATTGCATAACAAGCGAGAGCTGAAGGTGGCTGCAGTTAGACCTAGGAGAGCATCACCAGGAAGGACACGAGGATGTCTGTGCGTCAAAGACTTCGGGCAGTTATTGACTTCAAAAGATTTTCCACAGAATTACCGTCAAGACTCTGAAGTCACCATATTTACCACACAGATCTTTCTGTATTCATGTAAATGTCCTCAGATTACATTACAGATCTGTCACTGTCATGCAATTTCCATTATTTTTATTACAAATATTACAAATCGAAGTTTGGATGCACAAAAATGTGTGTCTGGACTCCCATGTGTCCTCAAGTACTCTCTGAGCATGTGATGTTGGTGATGCTCTGCCCTCTAGTGGTAAAACCCAAAAAATCAAAATGAGCATCCCCATCATTGATGTTTTCAGTAATTCCATATGGAAAAAAGAATTAA